ACCCTAGGGTGGGGTCAGGGATGATGTAAATATACTGGGGCCCGCCCCGCCCCGCCCCCAGGTCTGTGAGTTCGGCTCAGCGCCGCCCCCGGGCTCGGGGGGAACATTCAGCCCCCAGCGCGGCCTGGGCCCGGCGGGGCGGGGAGCGGAGCGGGCTGGCGGCTGGCGGGGCTGGCGCTGACGCTGCCCGGGCCCGGCGGCGCGATGGCGGCGGCGCGAGGTGAGCCCGGGGCCGGGGCCGGGGCCGGGGCCGGGGCCGGGACGAGCCGCCCGGGCGCTGCTGAGCGGGGACGGCCCGGGCTCGGGGACCGTGCGGCCGGGACAGGCGGGAGGGTCGCGCCGGGCTCGGGCTGATCGGCGGCTGGGCCGGGTCCCCGGGGCTGCGGTGGCGGGAACGGGGGGCCCGGCCCGGGTCAGGGTCAGGGTCCCGCCCCGCCGGGGGCGCCCGGCTGCTGGCAGCCCGCGCCGGTGTCCGGACTCGCCGTCCCGTGAATTAACCCGGTCCCGAGCCCGGCGCTGAGCGGGGAGAACTCGAGCCCGGCAGCCGCGGGCACAAAGCGGGTCCGCAGCTCCGTGGGCTCCTGGCGTTGTGTGGGGGCCCGTGGGTCCCTCAGGCCGCGCCCCACCTTGCCAGGGGACTCACAAGGGGCGCACAGGGGGGGCGAGTTCAGGAGCTGCTGGGGCCAAGGGTGCGACGGGGTCAGAGCCTGGGGCAGGGCTGGGACTGGGTCACTGAAGCCTGTTTGCGTTCAAGAGCAGGTTGGGCGCCAGTGGGGAGCACCGGTGGGTGGGCGCCAGTGGGGAGCACCGGTGGGTGGGCGCCAGTGGGGAGCACCGGTGGGTGGGCGCCAGTGGGGAGCACCGGTGGGTGGGCGCCAGTTGGGAGGCTGGAAGTCTGGGAGAGCCCTGGGACATGACGGGGTAAGTCTGAGGGCTTGTCTCCGCTACCCTGCGGGGTCGATTTACGATGCGCAACTTCAGCTACATGAATAGCGAAGCTGAAGTTGACGTACTTCGATTTACTCACTGCAGTCTCTTCACTGCAGTAAGTTGACCGCTGACGCTCTCCCGTCGACTCCGCTTGCGCTTCTCCTTCTGGTGCGGTACCGGAGTCGACGGAAGAGCGCCCAGTAGTCGATTTATTGCCTCTAGGATCGATCGCTGCCCGCCGATCCAGCAGGTAGTGTAGACAAGCTCTGAGAAATGCTCCAGTTTACCCAGGTGGAGCAATAGGTGTGAGGAAGGGGGCGGGAGCCAAGAGAGGTCAAGGTGACTGGGAAGCAGATTGGCTGTGAGGATGGAATGAGCAGCTATGATTGGTAGGGAAGGTGGGGGAGCAAAATGGAAAGATACAAAGAGTGGAGGAGTGAATTGGGGGGGATGTATGGGGGGAAGGGAATTGGGTCTCTAACGGGGGCCTGAAGCAGAAGGATTGGATTTAGGAGTCACATGGAGGGGAGAATTGGAAGATGCTGTGGGCTGGGAAGCACGCTGGAGCCTGAGGGTCTAAGATGCAGGAAATGCCCTTCCTTTAAGGAGTGTAAGGAAGAGGGCAGTGTCTGCTCTCAGCCATACAGCAGCACTGGGGCACTCTACCAGCAACTCCTGGGGTGTGTGGAGGGACAAATTGCCATTGACGGTACAGATCTGAGCAAATGAATTAATTGGTTTGCAGAACTGCCGAATGAGCCTCTCGGGGAGAAGCAAGAATTTTGTTTTGAAGTTCCTGTTCTGTTGCCGAGATCAAAACTAACTAAGCAAGTCTGTAGTTAAGCCAATATTGGTTTTCAGTTGGCAGTGTCCCTGTGTGAAACCTGCCCCAGATGACCCACTGGCTTCCAAACTACAGCTGCAAAACGTACACTGCCTGATTCAAAGGGGAATGGCCAGAGACCCCTCTGCCCAAGTAGAGCTTTGACAATGAAGTTCTTGGACTGTTTTGCTTGTGGACAGAGGATAAAGTGATGGATTCTAGTGTAACCTGTGTCTCTCCTGAACTGTGTAACCTGTTTCAAACCAGCTGTATTTAAAACATTGCTTAATTGCATTGTTACTGTCTAACTCTCCATGCTGCACCTGGGAGGAACTTTTCCTGGGGATTTCCTAGTCTGATCTGAGTGACAATGAAGAGCTCTGATTTGTATCTTGCAGGTGCTGTTGGTAACTAAGTATTAGAGCTAGTCAAAACTCATGTTCTGTGAAAAAAAATTTAAAACAAAGTTTGCGTGTGCAATGCAAAAATGGGTTTTTCAGTGAAAAAAATTATTTTCATTTTGTTGGGGGAAATCCTTCACTTTCTTTTTAAACTCCCCTCCCCCACAGTGTTTTTTTTTTAAGTAGGGAAAAGGGGTAAGAAATTTAAACATAACAGAAAGTGAGGGGAAAACACTTTTTTCTCATGGGGAGGGGGGAAGTTTCATAGCATTTACATCTAGAAAGGACCATCAGATCTTTTAGTCTGACCTCCTGCATATCACAAGCCATTACATCTCACTAACTGTATTAAGCCCAAAGACTTTAGTCAGACCAAAATATTTTGGCTCTGAGAAAAAGAGAACAGGTGAGGCCAAGGTCCCTGTGATGTCAGGGAATGATTAGATGAGATGTGCACAGGAAATCACAGCAGGTGACCCATGCTACAGAGGAAGGCAGAAAAGACCCTAGGGGCTCTCACCATTCTGAGCTGGAGGAAAATTCCTTCTCAACCCCAAATCTGGTGATCAGCGTGACCCTGAACATGTGAGCAAGAGGCACTATCCAGGTTTGCTTTTTCAAAGGAAAAAGGTTAATTTTGAATGTAAATGTTTTTTTTTCCCCTCACACTTCTCTAATGAGAAGAATGGGGAAGGAGGGTGATGGGAGGAAAAAATAGAGAGGGCATTTCCCCACCATTTTTAAACTAATAATTTCAGACATACCAAAAAATAACCTCTCCCTCAACTTATTTGTTTCAAAAGTGTTTCTGAAAACTAAAACTTCACCTCCAAAGACATGTTTGATTGGGTGGGAGAAAGAATGCCGTTTCTTTGACAACCCCATTTTTTACCAAAAAGATTTTAATGAAAGACCTGGTCAAAGTTTATCAAGTATGTACCAAGTAAGTAGCTGACAATGTTTGCTGTTGGAAGGATTTATTATGATTAACTTATGTTGCACATTTACTACTTTGGGGAGTGACTCATTTGTGAACTGCTCCTGATGTTTGCTGCATCTTTTGGGCAATTGATTTTCATTCATGGGGTTGTTCTCATCAATGGATCACTGTTGATTATTTGCATGGTGGCTGGTCGCCTAAGTTACATGTCTTTGCTTTTGATCCTTGAGTGGATCACAAACATTTTAAACAGGAAGAGAACTGGGAATAACCCTGGGTCACTACAAAAAATAATTTCCCCTATGTTGATAGTCACACCTTCTTGTCAACTGCTGGGAATGAGCCACATCCACTTTGATTGAATTGGCCTCATTAGCACTGCTCCCCTCCCCCCCACACACACTTGGTATGGCAACTCCCATCTTTTCATGTACCTGTTTACTGTATTTTCCACTCCAGGGATCTGATGAAGTGGGTTATATCCCATGAAAGCTTATGCTCAAATAAATTCGTTAGTCTCTAAGGTACCACAAGGACTCCTTGTTTTTTCCACTTTATAAGGATAGATTTTCAAATAAAGATCATTAGTGCTTAAAAATGTATGGTGATTTTGGGATTTGGCAAACTTGATGAATCCCCAGAAAATGCCTGAATCCTTGAGAATAAATAACAAGAGGCCGTAAATCAAAATGGATGGAATTTGGTCCTTGTATTTGTACAAATATTTTCTTTTGAACTTCAAGCCTTTCTACTAGCTGATCAGTTGGGGGCGGATCAGCCCCTCAGACTGTTCATCTCTCATAATACTAACAAGAACTGAGACTGTTCTAGGCCTCAGATACTGGCTGCACTTCCTCCTTAGCTACGGGAAGAACATGGAAGTCAGTACGTAATAACAAGCTTTCTGTGCATTCCCAAGCTGGAGTCGCATCCTCCCTCGTTGCACAGCTCTCGTCCAAGGACTGCCTGTGTCTCTCCCCCATCAGCCGGAAGGTTGCAGCCAGGAGTCTGGATCCAGAGTGTTTCATTTCTCATTTCAGGCTATGTTTGACATCGCTGTCTCGCTCTCCTGAGGAGGAGTGGGAGGAGCTAGCAGGATGGCAGAAGGAGCTGTAGAAGGACGAGATGAGGGACAACTACAAGACTTTGATCTCACTGGGTAAAAATTATTACAGTAACTCCTCACTTAAAGTCTTCCCGGTTAATGTTGTTTCGTTGTTACATTGCTGATCAACTGGAGAACATGCTCATTTAAAGTTGCGCAGTGCTCCCTTATAACGTGTTTGGCAGCCGCCTGCTTTGTCCACCGCTTGCAGAAACGGCAGCCTGTTGGAGCCAGCTGGTGGGGGCTTAGAACCAGGGTGGACTGGCAGCCCCCCTATCAGCTCCCCTAAATTCCCTGTGCGGCAGCCGCTCAGCAGGCTATCAATTGCCGGGCAGTTCAGCTGTCCCTCCCCCCACTGCCGTATGCTGCTCCCGGGAGCCTCCTGCTTGCTGTGCAGAGGTGGGGGGAAGAGAGGTGCTAATGTCAGGGTGTCCCCTTGCTCCTGCCCCCCCCCTGCTTCTGTACCTTATCTCCACAGAGCTGGGGGTGGGGGGTGGGAGAGACACAACAAGGCTTAGAACAGAAGGAGCATGCTGGCAGCGGCTGCCGTCTCAATTTGCTAATCTACTTAAAAAGGCAATGTACTTAGAGTGGGGTCAGTGTACTTAAAGGGGCAATGTGCTTCTCTCTCACACAGTGGGTGTCTGTCTCTCTCTGCCATGCTGTCTCCCCTCCCTCCATTCCTGCTGCCTTGTAGAGTGTGAGGCTACATTAACAACAATGTGTTAACCCTTGAGAGCTCAGCTGAGTGCTAGTTCCATCATTTAGTAGCAAGGCATTCCCTGGGAAATATCCCACCCTCTGACTCCACCACCTCAACCAACCTTCACAATCATCATTGCTCTGTACAGTATTAAATTGTTTGTTTAAAACTTACTACTCTGTGTGTGTGTGTGTGTGTGTGTGTGTGTGTGTATGTGTATGTGTATGTATACACATGTATATACACCATGTCTTTTGTCTGGCGAAAAAAATTTCTCTGGAACCTAACCCCTCCCCTCCCATTTACGTTAATTCTTATGGGAAAATTGGATTTGCTTAACATTGTTTCGCTTAAAGTAGCATTTTTCAGGAACAGAACTACAACATTAAGCAAGGATTTACTGTATTCACTAGTTTGTATAAGTGGCATGAGCTGTAAGGGGCCTGAGTGATCTTCAGATCAGGGTTTTTCTCATGTTTGCACTTGCATTCCTTTGGGGGGGGGGGGGGAAACTGCTCCAGTCAATGGAGACTCAAAATACAGAAGGTAGCTCTAATCCCTCTCTTTACAATATTTTCTGGTTTAGGACAATGGCTGTACTTCTCCATCTCTGTCTAGCCCACAAGCAGAAATGAGTTGCTGGATTATTGCATATGACGCATTGGTGCAAATAATCATAGAATCATAGAATCATAGAATC